AATATGTACAGGGTCGTTCCGTATATTTGAACAGTTTACACAGGGTTCACTTCATATATAGTAGTTGTAGGGTTTATTCTGAATCTCCAGAAAATTGTACGAGGAGAAAAAAATGAATGTCGGCGATAGAAGAAATATGAACCAACTTCGTTATTTTCAATGTAATACAACCTATATATTTTTCGGAAAAATTGAAGATCTCGTTTCTAATTTCCACAATAACTTTGAAAAAAAAAATCATCGATAGCTCATTCATTTTTGAATTCACAATGAAAGGTCAGAATCGAATTTTCCATCAATTACTATTTTACATAAAAGTAGAAAGAAATCGTCGATAGCTCATTCATTTTTTAATTTAGGATAAAAGTGTATAGGGCTGTTCTTGTTGAAAATCAAATATTCTATCGATCGAGAATATTGTATAGTGGGTGTCCCAATTGAAAAAATGAACTTTTTGACATATTTCGTGAACACGATGTTCAATTTTTTCGATTTCATCATCGTAATCAGCAGAAAAAATACTACTAGTTTTTCAATTTAACCGACTTTGTGACTTCAATAAAAATTAAGTTAGCAATATAGTGCCGACTTGAATTCGAAAACCCTGAATACTTTTCCGTCGACCTAGTATTAACGAATAAGTTCAATTTTTATGAAATCGATCGTTAATAACCCCCTATTAATGATCAATTTGCCTATCAATGCACGATTGTAGCATAGGCAACCCAAGATACACAGCGTCGTTTCTCTGTTTATGCTTATCTGTATTTAAATCGAAAATATGGATTTCATCGAAGAATTTCCGTTAACTGTTTAGCCTTTTCAAGTTTCTGAAACGATTTTAATCCCTGTTTTTCAACACACGGAATTTATTTTCTATGTTGATAATTTCGACGAAGAATGTCAAATGTCAAATGTCACTAAGGTCAGTGACAAGGCTTTTCATCATCGCAGGAGAAATACCTTTGAAATATCTTGCTCATTAATCGTCCTCATTAACACACTAGTTGGTCAGATAACTATTATTGGGGTTATCTTTGTCAGTTTTCGAATAATATAGATTCTAAGGCAGCTATATAACGCCAGAAATCGCAGGATTGTCGTCTGACATTTGACACCTGTCTTGATCTATATCAAAAATCTCAATAAAGTATACAGGATATTTGGTATAATGTTAGTACTTCATATGAGAAGAATGTATATCATACTTCGTAATAGAGTAATTGACATTGAATATTTGAATTGAAAAAAATGTATGTATTTATTTATTTATTTATTTATATTTACTTCAGAGACGATGAGAACTTTATTTATTCAATAATATCATGGTATTTGCAGTCATTGTCAAAATTCACAGCAAATTATTTCGACAGTACTTTTAGTAACACCATGAATATGTATATATGGCTGCAGAAACTTTCAAGGTCAATTACTCCGTAACGAAGTGCGATAAACATTTTTTCATATGAAGTACTAGTATTATTTTGGTTCACTCTATCAGTCCTAACATTCACGACATAAACTTTGAGGACACCCTGTATTTATTTTTGGCTGTATCTAATTGTCAGTGCTTGTTAGAGTGTCCGTACTCGAAATATAGCTACAAATAGGTACGTCAAAATCAGAGTGTCAAGTACATTAACTCTAACTACACAGGAATGTCCAAGGTACGTCCCTTTTTTGTTCCGCGGTCCAAGGACATGATTGGGGCATCCTGGGGATATCCCGCAGTGGTTGTCCAGTCCCGCCCGATATATCCCTAGGTAATCCTTTTCGTGTCCCTGGAATATCTGATATCCATTCACATCAGAGTCATTGAATTTCATCAAAATATTGAGTTGAATTTTTTTGAAAATGTTTGTCTTCTTCCGGAAAATAATTCTAATGAAAATAAAGAATATAGTCTCAGAACTTCTCAAGAAATTACCATTTTTCGCAAACAGAAATCGCAAATGCATAATGCCCGTCATTTTTAAACACCCAAGAATGATAATAAGCATACCCAAATGCTAACAAAGTTGTATTTATTCAGGTTTCTGTAGTTTAGTCGTGTTTATGCCTTCATAAGGCATATTAATAGCCAATGGAGTAAGGTGCGTGCCTGATAAGCTAAAGGTACCGGGTTCAATCCCTACTGTCCTGGGGATATCCTTTCTTTGTACTTACATTCCAGGGACGTACCAGAGAGACATCTCTTGGATGCCTCTTTTGTCGGCCAGCGGATGTCCCTGGAACGTCCCTAGTATGGACTTTCGTCCCCCCCCCCCTGGGATGTCCTAGTATAAAATTAAGGACGTCCCTGGGAAGTCTCTAGGATGTACTCATTGTGTTGTTAGGGAAGGAACTATAGAGTAGCTATATCAACAATAGTTGCGAAAACTTTAACAATCCTCGACTTCTTTAAGTAAGATTTCATCACATGCCGCATGTGTTGTGGTTGAATGTTAAACTACGAAAATGTTTGCCAATATAAAGTGACGAGCGCTCTTGCAACTAATTATATTGATAGGTATCTATTCAGTCCCTTTTTATAATTTCCTCAATATCATAAAAAACACTTACCAGCTTGGGAAATGACTGATTTCGATGAATTACCAAACCAATTCCTACACTACACACAAACACACGCAGCACATACAAACACACAAACACACCAACACACACAAATGCACCACTATTAACACTAAACTGTACAAAGAATACCTTGATTTTGTCACTTTTGTGTTCGTTTCTCTCTTTAATCGACCGAACGCATTGAAATTCAATATAAGACTGATGACTGATGCCTGGCTTTCGATTCATCACCTCAATGACTAATCAGTTACGTCACTTTCTCAACCGATTGAAACCCGAACAAGATATTTATCTATGACTAATAATATCCGAGGTATATAGGGAGGAAGTGGAAAAAAATTCAATATGTACAGGGTCGTTCCGTATATTTGAACAGTTTTCAGACAGAAAAAGGGTTATTCTCAATATTTTTCGAAAAAAAATAAAGATCTCTCTTTTCTTATTTCAAATATATACATATACGATGTTGATGATCGGTTTAGCAGTTTTCAAATTAATATGGGTTGAACATAGTTACAATTTGGTTTTACCAAAATCGCAGTTGCCATGAACATCACATACGCACAGGTTGTCATCAAGCATTGATAAAACTTTCTCTCATATGTTCATTGCATAGAATATTGAAACATAACTCGGTTTCAGTGACGAGGACAAATTGGAAATGAATTGTTTATTCCACAAAAATAACAATAATAACATGAACATAAATTTTATTCAAAGGAAATATGACAGAAAGTTCGATTGATGACAACCTGCGTATGTGTTGTTGAATTTCGAATTGGAATATTTGATAAACGGCTGAACCGAATATCAACAACCTATACATTTTTGAAATGAGTAAAGAAAGATCTCAAATTTTTTCGAGATATATATAGGGTGTTCCATTGAAAATAACGTTGGTACCCATTTCTCATATCAGCGGCATTCATTCGTTTCACCTCGCACAATTTTCTGGAGGTTCAGAACTTTTGCATTCGATGTTTTTTTTTCTATCTGCAATGATAAATCCTGTAGAAGCTATTAAAATATATGGAATGACCGGACCCTTTACCGGATCATTTACATGTGCTTCGAAAAAGTTTTGTTAAATCTGATATTGGTAATAATTTTAAAAATTTTTGCTGTTAGAAATATAGCATCTTATCATATTCCTATACGTTGTTCTCAATTCGACAAACCTTTGAAATTGATTTGATTTACGTTCCTGTACTGTCAGTTCTCGCTTTTTTTCATGGGTTGGTGCAAGATCTGTCAGATATGACGAATATGACCGACCCTGGAGGTAAAACATCGAAATATAACCTCACTTTTTTTTTATTTCTTTATAGAGGATTGAATAGTTTTTCACAATTATTTTGGCGAAATGAATGGTGTTTTCAATATTTTGAGCATGCATACAATGTAGAGACGCAGGAATCCGATTTTTCAGGTAGGTGAGGTAGTCACTCACAAATAGTTTTCATTCTGAAAATTTTTCATTTCTCATTGGAATTCCTTCTGCGATAGGAGCTAATAGAAATACTCGTGAAGTTTCGTCAAAAAGATTGGATTCGTGCAATCGAACGGGAGGGACTGGTCTGACCTGTTGACGAAATATGATCGTATAATTCGCATCAGGATTTTACCAAAGTCAATGGCTCCCCTTCTAACGAAGAAATCAAGTATTGAAAGTTTTCAGATTTAGAAAGTGACTGATTATCGTCAACTGTATTTTTGTATGGATCATAGAAGGTGGGCCATTCCTTTGGAGAACCTCTGAAAGTCGGTTATTTTATTTTCGGCAATTTTACACTATTTGAACCTCTGGTTCACTTGAAGCTAAACGCCCAGTATCCAGTATCATTCAAATCTTGTCGTGCATTGAAAGTTTCATTAAAATTTGTTATAAATTTTATCGTCAAATGATTTTCTAATGAACTTTTCTGATTTTAAATTTGGTTCCTTTGTCCTAGAGCTGAATTTTTTGATGCTATAATCCGCAGTTCAATTAGAGTTAATTCCAACTCAGAAGACAGCATTGGCAATCATGGATAAGCGTTAACCTTCGCTAAGGTTTGTTAATCTGTGCCTTCGCTTTGATTGGTGAATATCGGAGGCAATATTACTCCTGTCCAATATCATGACCTGTGGAATGACGTGAAGGATGAAGTGTTCTTTGAGGAAAGATGATCACATCATCACATATTTAATTTATTTCTTGTATATTTTATATCTTCAAAATGACCATGATTTTGAATAAAGTGCCTTCATTTATTTCATCAGCCTAAAGTTTCCTTCAAGGTTGGTAGAACTGACGATAATTCATTCAGAGACAGCGCCACCTATTGCCCTCTCATTTGGAACGCGGCAGGTGGTTTTTATATACACGCAACACGTTCATTTAGCCGCTAGTCATTTCTAACTCCAACCTAACCTAACAATTTATCAGTCTTTATCAGGAAATCTCTTGTCTTGGATTGGAATTTTATTTTTACAAAGAACTGGAGGGGCCACAGCCGTGGAGGAGCTAACCTCGAGCACTTCACGAACAATATTTTTTTACATTACGATAAATATTTCATATACCTAGATCTATCATGGAGCAGTTTCAAGATATTGATGATGAACATTTCAGTGAAAAATGTTCGATTGTTGCCAAAGGTTCTTGAAAATGATGGGCATAAACAATGAGCTTATTATATTCCACTTCTAGATATCCAAAGGGGAGATTTAACTGTTCTCAGTTTGATAGAAAATTTGGGCTCTTTATTGACTGATACCTCTGCAACCAAAAGAGAGCTAGGCATTGCAGTGTTATCCGAAGTACTGAACAAAATTCCATCAAACTGCTTGAATGCACAAGAGCTATCAGTGATTTCTTCTTTTTATGCTGAAAAACTAAAAGATCTTCACCAGGTGAGACCCTCTGCAGTGAGCCAGATACCTACACTGGAAATAATTTGAGTTTCAAAGAGCTATAAGAAGATGTATCAGCATCATTCTTGGGTTTTTACCTTTTAACACCTATTCTTGTGTAAAATTGATTCTAGGTGGTGCCTCCTAGTTTAAAAGGAATTTTAACAATAATAGAATTTGAAAATTTTCCAGGCCAGAAGGTAGCAGTTTTGTTGAATGCTTTATTTCATAATGTTTCCTGTCAACAACAGCAACAAGCTGATAGAAATACAATTTATAGAATATTTGACCTTATGTCCAGAAGATTTTCTACAGGTGAGTTTTACAGGGTGATAAAATTCAGTCAATGATGATTCAACAGCTGATAGCTTCAACTAAATCTATACAGAATCTATCTTTGCCTTCAATTCAGCTTTCATACTCTGATTGAATTTGACAATATTAAAGTACCTACATAGGTAAGTTTTGATCTCAGGTTTGATATTATTGTGAGCTTATCACAGTACAGATTTACCTTGGATTATGAGGTAGGTATCTACTGGGTGTTTCAAAGAATTTTTAAACCCACAAGATCATGTTTCAGGTATGATTTTCTTGTACACATCATATTGAATTTTTGCATCATTTCATAATGAAAACAGAAAAAGTCTCAGAAAAATTGAAATGGTTCAACAAAATAACACATTATAATCTGCTCAGTTTAGTGGCTATTAAAAAAAAAACTAATGACTGTAATTCCAAGTGTAATTCACAATGTAATTGTTTGAAACTCAGCACTTTCAATAATTTGGAATAACTTATTGGTTAAAGTACATACATTGCATAGGTGTATAGTCTTTGCAAAGTTTCTTTTTAGACAAATTCAGTAAAAAAAATGGCAAATTGAAATCTTCAAAGGACCTGGGTGTGGTGGATCTCTGCTGGATCAAGCTGTCTCAAGTGACTGCATAAACTATACCTATACAGTGTCATTCATAAAGTTGGCATGATATGGGAAAAACTTTTAATAATAATTTATTCTGAAATTCCACTTGGGCCTTAAGTTTTGCTTACAAAAAGACAAAAAAATTGCTTAAATGGTCATAGTCAATTAGTCACCTGACTTTAGGTACATATAAAAAGTTACATTTTCTTCAAATCAGTTTCTGAACATAGTTCTATCTGTTTGAATAAAAGAAAACTCAGAACAGACCAGTAGCTATAGCTTCAGAAGAATAGGCAAAGACACACTTATAAGCATTCAGACATGAAATTTGATAAAAACTAAGGTAACATTATATGTTGATTAATTAATTATATATTTTTTTAATTCAAGTTATTGTTGTTTTCATTGGTGTTTTATAAATGTTTACTATCTAGATTTCATACTATTTGAGCTTCTTTACCAAAAGGAGTGGTGGTATGGAAGAAGGTGTCAACAAATACCACCTTTTGTGTAATATATATTCATGTTTTTGGGTGTATGATAGTTACACAATAAATGTTTTTCTATTTTTTATTCTTTTCTATAACTTTTAGTTCTTGAAAATTATCGATTTCTTTTCATGGTCACCTAGGTCATTAGATGACTTTACAATGCCATTAAAAACTACTGGAAAACATCATAATCTCTGCCATACATTGAAATGAAAGTTAGACTTGTTTTCCTGTAATTTTCAATGTCATCAGAACGTCATCTTATCACCTTGGCGACCGCAAAATATTTTGGCATAATTTTAGTACTAAAAAAATCAATTAAAATGAATTTCGCTTCTGAATGATAGACCATACATAAACTTTGCATCTAAAAACAGCAATTTGAAGCAAGGATTAATCATTTTCTGAAGAAAATCATATTTTTGTCCATAATTCGCAGTAGCCAAGGTCATCACCTGATGTTGAGATGACATAAAAACCAAGGAAAAACATGTCTAACTTTCAATCAAAGCGTTAAGGAGGAATGAACACGCTAACTGCCTATGATACATTTGAAGTTTTGGTCCATGGTGCCCAAACAGGAAACTTAATGATGTGAATCGATTATTTGGTTGTACTTATGTAATTCATGTATGATACTTATCATAAAAATAGTAGAAATAATCAAAGAAAAAGTGATTTGAAATTGAAACCCAACGTTTGGGTTTCGGAGCTTGAAGTAGTTCCAGACCACGAAACCCATATGAGTGTTTCATGAGGTTTGTTCGCGTTCGAAAAATAAACAGTCCGAAACCATCAGAAGCCTGTGCAGTTCCACGGAACATGATAAATTCGTTCTGTGAAATTGCGCATACTCTGATGTTTTCCGACTGTTAATATTTTGAACGCAAACAAGCCTATGCAAAACAAGTCCTCGTCATGCGCAGTCAAGGTTATTATTGTTTACACTTGATGAATAGCAGGAAGAAGGAAGAAAAGTAGCCCAACTGAGGACGCCAAAATCAAGATACAAATGTCAACAGTGTGAGCGAGCGGTTTTTTGTTTGCCATGTTTTTTTGAAGAACACAAAGCATCCAAATGGTGAATAAATCATTTTATTCCAATGAAACTATCGGAAAGCATATTTTATTATACAGGGTGATTCACATAACAACCGACATAGGGCAGGGGTATGTAGGGGATCCCAAAATATGGCAATTTAACGCAACTTACCTCTTTACCAAGTTGCTTCCCTAAGGAGTTATAGGCATAGCACTAACAGCATGTCAACTTGCTCGTTAAAAGAAAACTTCCCGTTCATTTTAAAAACACTCAAACAACAATTACTTAATTGAACAACTCACTTGCCTCATTGTCAAGTTTGACGTTTATTTTCATAGCCAACTTTTGAATTTTCGATGATTTTAAATAACACACCTAGAGCGCGCGTTTTCAGTTATTCGAGTTTTTGATGAAAATGATGACGTTTCTCGAAAAATCACTAGAGTAAGAAACGTTTTAGAATTGAATTGCCCACAAAACAAAGCAGAGATTTTTGAAATCCATCAAGTGTTAACAAAATTATGTTGAATATTAATGGTGCGCCACCCGGTATAGCCCCTTTACAAATTTCGATTGAACTCTAGTTACTGTCAAGTAACGCCCTAAATACACAAAGTGTACCAAATTTGGTTGCTTTAAGTTCAAGAATAACGGAGATATTGATTTTTTTCAAAATTTATAACTTCACTTTCAACGCCTATATCTCCTTAGGGAAGCAACTTGGTAAAGAGGTAAGTTGCGTTAAATTGCCATATTTTGGGACCCCATACATGCCCCTGCTCTATGTCGGTTCTTATGTGAATCACCCTGTATGTATTTGTATGTGTGTTCGTTTATCAAATACTTGGATAAATCAACTTTTTGATACTATAATTTTCTCACTTTCATATCCGCAAAAGAAAAACAAAAATACGTAGGCTCATTCACTATTTAGGTCGACCAGGCCCCACGTAATATGTTAAATGTAAATATGTTTTAAAGCTTTCTGAAACCCACTCGTCGAACTTCGAACTTCATCAAATGAAGTGCATAATATGTATCATGAGAACCAGCATTAGGGTTTCGGAGCCGATTTAACCAAGCATTGTGAAACCCAACGTTTGGGCTTCATGGCAGTTATATTAACGTGTTAAAACATGTTTTCCCTAAGTTTTCATGTCATCATAACTGATGATGACCTGCATGGCTGTATTTCAGAAAACGGCAATGGGCGAGCGGGCTATTTTTTTATTTCTCAAATAGAATCATCACCCAGATACCTTTCGATTTCCTTTTTTTGGGACGATTTTTAGGTGCTAAAATCCAGTGCCGGATTTATACTCCCTTACGCCGGGGGCTAACTTTTACGATGCCGCCGCGCCACCGCCAAATATTTAATTTTCAATTGTCAGTTTCAAAATTCAAATAATCCTTTCACTGCTTTTTTTACAGCTTATAACAATAACATGAAATCATTATGTATAACGAATCAAATTATATTTACTTCACACGTTAAGCATAACAACAAACAACAAATATTTTTTTTCAGATGAATACTGAAATACTTTTCTTGATTTTTTTGATGCAAATTGCAAAGTCGTCAATGGCATCATCAAAATTCAGATTTAATAACATGTAACTGTTAATACTTAAAATTGATAAGATATTCAATACATCCTCTACCATGGAATTCCTAAGGTAGTTTTTTACTCTTTTTAAATTTGAGAATGACCTTTCACCACTGGCATTACTAATCATCAGGGATAGTAAAAACATTCTCAGTAATTACCAATATTCAATGAATTAGGAATTTGTTGTGATTATCCCTAAAACAACGCTTAGTCGTGTTCATATTTTGATCATCTATTTTTGAGATTCTTACTATTCTTTTTCGCGTTTTGAATTTAAAAAAATATAAACTTACCATTCCCGTCTTGAGATCGTGAAGTTCCCGAGGACGGTTCTGTCATTTCTAATTCTGTCTCATTTGAATTCAGAAAAAATTAATGTGTTTTAGGGCATTTCTCGACAACTTCGTCTAACTACTTTTGTTTATTGATCTTCTGCCGTTTCCAGAATGCACCACCTTCTTTTTTACTCATTTTTTTAAATTTGAGTTTCAATATTTATTTATCATTAGTACCATTACCAACAATACCAACGACGACCTATCAAATACTGAACTCTGATTTCGTTTTTTGTTATTGAGTTATATACGAGTAGAATGCGGTTTTTCTTCTCATCATCAAATAAATAAAAGTATGTACATGTACATGTTATGATTTTCACAAAAACAGTATCTCAACCAGTCAACGACTGTATTGCTGCTTGCTTTTCCTCTTTTCTCTTTTTCTCTAGCGCCTCGTAAAATTCACCGCCGGGGGCTGATAGTCCCATAGCCCCCCCCTAAATCCGGCACTGCTAAAATCATCAATGATGCCACGGTAATTTTCAAACCGATATAAACTTGACGCGAGTAAAAACTGATGTCACAATTTCTTAAGTAGGGGCAAACCATATAGCACAGTTGCCATGTGTTGAAATACGATTTGGAACTACAGAAATATTATTTATTCAAACATTCATGAATTCTCAATCATGTATTGGCAATACAAAATCAATTATCTCAAAATGTTCCCTTATGATTTGTGGCTCATTGTTTATAATACATTTGTGTAAATACACTGAACTATAACCCGACAAATGGAATGCGGATACAGCTACCTGCGCGTGAATATTTTACGCCTCCCATGGAGATCTTGACCTTAAGGTTCTGCGACGACGCAGTAAAACCAAGAGATGAAAAGAATGTCCGTGATTATCAAAGTTGCTCACAACCGCAGACGTATGTCGTTGATTATGTGTGCTCCCATCAGGAGAGGCTTAGATATTTTAGCGCCCATCATCTGCCACGCCTTTGTTATTGTTTGTTTTCATATGGTTTTTATTTCCATTTTTTCATTGTTCCCAATCGTGTCTTTTATAGATTCGTGTTTGTGTCCTGGTATTTGGATGTTTTTTTTTTTCGTTTATATTTTTGAGTTGTGACCGTGATTTTGGTGACTTCTTTCTAAAAGACTATTAGTAGACAATAAGTATGGGTCATAGGAATGTATGGTGTCCTTGTGCCGAAATGGGAAAAAAATAAGATTCATCCTATTATGATCATGCCCGCCTTGACAATTCACTTTTAGAAAATCATAAACTCAGATTGATAAAAACTACCTTGCGAATAAAATAAACTGAGTTCATGAGAGGGCTGACAATTCGACAAAAAATAAACAAATTGGTGTTATTTTTCCACCAATAATCAATTACTATTGTGACAGAGTATCAAAAAAATTGAAATTTTGTTTTCTCTAGATTTGTAGCTCGGCAAAATAACGCTGAAGTATTTTGTGTTCAAATGTCATTATTTGATGACAGTCTTCGAAAAACGTAAATTCACATAGAATTATACATTATAATTCAAAGCTCGGCAAAATAACGCCGAAGTATTTTGTGTTCAAATGTCAACATTTGATGACAGTCTTCGGAAAATGTAAATTCGCACACTATTATACATTATAATTCAACTTACTTCAATGGGCAAGAAATAATCGTTCATTGGCAAGACCGGCCCTTGTTTCAAAATAAGTGCGCATGCCCACAACCTTAAATCCGTTATGTCTGCGCGAGGTTCTAATGAGCGTATTATTGATATCATGCATCGGCATTCCATTTGTAGGGTTATAGTTCAGTGTGTAAATAGTAATTACATTAATTCACACTAGAGGACATTTGAAGCGGTGAACGTGACAACATCGCGCGCACGTGCTGTGGGCGTGGTCTTGTCCCTTCTCAGCATTCAGCACAATGTTGCCAAGTCTCCAACATTCACATAAAATTTTGTTATGGAGTATTAGAAATATTTGAACATGTTTGCTCGAAAGAGTCAAGAATGAACGACAGGACTCTTAAATCTTTTTGATAACTTGATTATAACTGGTGACTTGACAACCTTGCTTCGTGAGTGGGAACGAGGTTATCTGACCAATAACGAAACAGAATAAAAAACTGACGTCATCATATACTCGACGTAAAGCCAAATAATTGCCATGACGGTACGTTTGAAAGGAGCTCCGAAATTCAACAATTTCGAACAACGCATCACTTATTATACAGTGAGGACCAAAAGTCCGTCGCCCCCCCTGTAACTTCTTTATTCTACATATTACAAAAAATGTTAAATACATAAGTTGTAGGGTTTCATTCGATCTCTTTAATGGTTTAAGTTTCATTCATACAGAGTATCTCTAAAAAGCACGGTGACTTAGAAGTTAATTTTTTTAAATGGGACACCCTGTATTTCATTGCATTATTACATTCTACGTTGAATTCTGAACAAGTTTGATAAATGGTTTTCTATCAAAAAAGTTGATAGTTTTGGACTTATGAACACTTGTAAATAATTATTTCGACTACTTTTGTGATCCATTTGTTACGATTTCTCATTGATAGCCATTTTGAGTCAATTCTGATATTCAGATCTCTTCATCTGGAGTTTTATCTTCAAAATGAGCCTAAGATTTCCAAAATCGGTTGACGTGGAAAAAAGTTATGGCTGCAAAACCAAAAAGTTGATTTTTTGAGATCACTCTGTAAATAAGAGAGATAGGAAGTTGATTCGCGAAATATCTCGAGGTAATGAGATCATCTTCATGCCTCTGTTGTCGAAGTTGAGAAAAAATTTTTTTTCACCATTTGAGAGCCTTTTGAATATTCCGAAATTTTGCACAGTGTCATAAAACCATGTAGATTTTATGTGAATACCCTTATGTTTCAATGCAGTACGAGATTATAGCTGAAGCAGTGGGCTATCGAACAGTGTGAACCAAATTCAAATTGTTCTAAACTGAAAAAAGTTATTCACATTATAACAGGGGCGACATTTTGGTGAGCGACGAAATTAGTGTTGAGTAGTTTACATAAAAAAAATTACACTTTTTTAAATACAATCGATGCATTCTGATATTGAATTGATTATTTTGTAATACAATTGATGCTTTCTGAAATTGAATTGACTATTCTAAACTGAAAAAAGTTATTCACATTATAACAGGGGCGACATTTTGGTGAGCGACGAAATTAGTGTTGAGTAGTTTACATAAAAAAAATTACACTTTTTTAAATACAATCGATGCATTCTGATATTGAATTGATTATTCTGTAATACAATTGATGCTTTCTGAAATTGAATTGACTATTCTGTAATATAATTGATGCTTTCTGAAATTGAATTGTCGCTTTCGGAAATACGACAACTGTCGTGTGTGTGAAATGAAACAGTTTTGTCGGCTTATTTTACAGACATTCCGTAGATATTGACAACTTTCGTCACGGTCAACGCGTTAAATGGCAAACTAGCAGATTTTTCCCCGCTGATAACGATTACGAAAACTAAACAAAAAACTAAAATCGTGTTCACTAGTTATGTCAAAAAGTTGAATTTCTTCAAATGGGACACCGAGTATTCAATATTCTTAATCGATAGGACATATTCGATTCGAAACAAAAACTGTCCCATAATCTTTTATCCTAAATTCCAAAATTACCAAGCTAGCGATGATTTCTCTAAGTGATTCCGTTAGTCAATGATGGTCGACGTGTTATTTTGTGATAACTTTGCCTCAGGATGAAAGTTTATAGAACAATTCTTGCTCCGAATCGAATTTCCTATCGATTGAGGATATTGTGTACCTACTAGGTGTCCCATTTGAAGAAATTGAACATTTTGACTTGCAACTCATGAACGCGAAGTTAGTTTGTCCGCGGAGAAGATACTACTAGTTTAAATATATACAAAAAGCTTAAAGTCATATCCACACAATGTTCATAATTTTTTTATGTTCTGGTTCTTACGAAAAGGGATATCCTTTAATGTTCAGAGAACATCGTGAGAGCCAAGGGAAATAAGGTAGGAATTGATGTTCTTATATTTCCCTAGAGGCGTCTTTCATAGACAATATGAAAGCAACGCCATCTGAGTTTGGCTAGGCTACGCTTAGTCGGCGGCTTAGGACTGCTGGCTGGAGACTGCCCTGCACTGATGAAAGTCAAAGAGCTCGAAACCGGTCTGTAGGTGTCTAGCGTGGCCTGGCTGAATCGAAATTAAAAGGCATTCAGGAAAGAATCTCTTGTATCAGTATTCGTTTACACGAGTCGATGCATAGATTTCGGGAGGATGTAATTCAATGTTTTGCGTAGCATAACCCAGGAAAGTAGTTGTTTTTCTCCCGAAATCTATCATTGTTGTTCATTTTATGAACGTTGCATAAAAATGAATCGTAGAAATCATCCATACTCTAAGTGGTTCAATGTATTTTGAAAGAAAAACACAAATTTCAAAGTCGGTCGACCACACTTCATATAATAGTAAGATTAAAAAACAGTGACCGTTTTCGACACAACGGCCATCATCAGACTGTGCAGTACAATAGTCACATTGAAATCATCAAAAAAGAGATTTTACAAAACCAAAAAACCATCATTAGGCCGAGAAGTCAGGTAAATGAAATGTTTCGTTTGAAACGGCTGAAAAGCCAGAAAAATCTCGCCCATTGTGTAAAAATGACTTTGAGCTTCTTGTATTTATTTAACATTTCATTCCACTTTGAGCATTCCCAGCGAGCACGAAAACATCTCAGAGACGTTGAAAGTACGAGATTTCGAGACATTGAACCTCGACTGCGATGTTCTTTTCACACATGAATAGAACTATCATAGAACAGCCAATGTCCGCCGCAGACGGCAATTATCGAGATGTCCTCGATATGTCACAAAACTACCTTCTCCATAGTTCTTTTCGAAGCCTTTTCATGGACACAACAAAACATTTTCAACGCGTCTTGCGCACATTGAATCGCTGTAAAAAAACCTTTTTTCGAGGTACTTCTCTGAAGCCTTTTGTCAAAATGAACTTTTGCATTAGGATTCCATTTCCCTTGAATGAAAAAATGCATTAAAAATAGATTGAACATAAAAATATTTTCTTGATATGAAATTACCTTCTTAATCGGTTTCTGAGTAGTGCTTACTACACACATACATATAATTGGAAATAGGTTTCCCAATTTTTTAAATGTTCTCCACAATGCATAATTTTGCAACTGCGGAGAAGCTGTGTATTGATAAATTGGTACTTTTATATATTGATTACACTGAGGCACCGAACAACACATCTTGCATCTGATGGTCATTATTACAAACTAAATAAGTCTTCTAACATAATAAACTTCACCAAATTTCTTTCTGTTCGTTAGCAGCGTGATGTGAGCGTGACACGCTGCAAACGCGAATGCCAATTGCGAACAAGAAGAACAAAATCGAAAACAAATCAGAATTCATCGTATTCTGACGTAAGCATGAGACGTTGTGGTGGGGCAAACAAAGAAAGGGCACAAAAGAACAAAAACAATACTTTCAATATCCCTCTAAGACCTCTCTGGGAAGTGCATATTACGCCTCAAAAAACATCCTCATGCCTACATTTCTAAAACATCCCAAAACATCCCAGGGATACCACTCAGTAGGCAAACAAAGAAATGCCACAGAAGAACAAAAACAATACTTCAATATCCTTCAAAGACCTCTTTGGTCAGTGCATATTACGTCTCAAAATAACATCTTCATGCCAACATTTTCAAAACATCCCAAAACATCCCAGGGATGTTTGTGCTCGCTGGGTTATGGCTATTTAGTAGTTGATTAAACACTATGTTCAAAACGGAGAAAAGCTTACTTATTAAATTTTTTTCAGAGTTGATTTCAATGAAACTAGAATTTGTGTATGGCGTCTTGCAATCCATAGACGGAGAGCGAGATCCTAGGAATCTCTTGTTCCTATTCAAGTGGCTGAAAACTTTTTTGGGTTTGGTTTCCTTGGGACATTTGGCCGAAGATTTTTTTGAAGTTCTTGCTTGCTACTTCCCGGTCGATTTCCGGGCCCCACCATCTGAAAAAGTAGGTTCATTTGTATACTAACATTGTCCACATCCATTTCGGGTATATTGCTTTTTATTTTGATCAGATATTCCGAATTTGGTACATCGATTTAAAAATTATTTTTATTGATTGAAAAATATCTGCAACGCCCTCAGGGGCGCGCCAAGCCATAATTTAGTTAAAGTTTATTACATGGGTGGGTAAGTATACATACATAAAATTAAAATACGTGCTAATTATTGTTATGTTCTGGTTCCCACGAAAAGTGATATCCTGTAATGAGAACCAAGGGAAATAAGGTAGAAATTGGTGTTCTTCTTAAATTTCTGGAGGTTATATGCCTCGGGGAACACCTCCCTTGGCAATGTGTTCCAGAGCCTCGCTGTTCGTTGGATGAACGAGTCTTTGGAAAGAGATGTTCTGCAGGTCTCTAAAGTGACCACGACGGAGTGCGAAGCCTCAACTCGACGGGTTAATCTCGCGGGGACTGCCAAGGAAGGAACAATTGTTGATATTTCAGAAGAGCATCGTCCATGAAAATATCTATAAAATAGAGCCAGATCGCCAACTTTTCTACGGTGTTCCAGAGAAGTGAGTGAGTTTGTTAGCGAGGCATCACCCACGAGACGAATTGCCCTTTTTTGGATAGAATTCAATAGTTTCAGGGTAGGTTTGTGTGCTGCACTCCAAATATGGGACAGTATTCCAGGACAGGTCGGATCAGTGCCTTATAGATCATAAGCAGCTGACTGGAAGTGAGATAGCTCCTGGCCCGAAACAGAAAACCAAGTTTTTGGGATGCACTTCTAGCAATTGATCTCAGGTGATTTTCCCAAGAAAGGTTATTGATGATAGTAATACCAAGCATCGAAATGGATGTCTTCAAAGGTATGCTTACTCCTGACAAGCTTATGTTGGGCACAGTGAGATCGGCTTTTCTAGAAAAAAGGCATGCTTGTGTTTTGTTTGCATCGAAATCTACCAAGTTATTGGATCCCCATTCGAGAATTGTTACCAATTTCATACTCATGTTGTCAACATTTCTTCCTCGTTCGTATCTGATTTGCCTGGCTGGTATTGGAGCCCTGGAAGAGAAAGTGATATGGAGGGTACTATCATTCGCGAAGCTATGTGTACTGGACGTTAAGTTGTTTCCAACAAATCGTTGATATTGAGTAGAAATAGTGTTGGTGCTTGAATTGATTCTTGCGGAGCACCAACCTTTATGATAAGAGAGTCAGATGAAACTTCGTCGACCACTACATAAAGAGACCTGTTCGAGAGAAATTTAGCTAGCAGAGAACATAACTGGGGAGGCAAGCCATGAGATGGAAGCTTGGCGAGGAGTCCGTGGTGCCAGACTCGATCGAATGCCTTGGAGATATCAAGTGCCACAGCTAAGGTTTCACCATATTTTTCAATAGATTGCTGCCATATGTGTGAGACGTAAGCGAGCAGGTCACCAGTTGATCTCTGATGACGGAAGCCATATTGCCTATCGTTGATAATACCTGAATGTTCCAGGTATTTCATGAGCTCGATGTTGATAGCTTTCACCATGATCTTTGAAATAATAGATAGCAGTGCGATCAGTCGCAGTTGCTAGGTAGGGTCTTTTTGCCTTTTTAGGAACTGGTTGTACTCTTGCAATTTTCCAGTTGGACGGGAATATCCCCAATTTGTTAGAGTAGTTGAACAACTTGCAGAGAACAGGTGTTAGTTCGGGAGCACATTTGTTACTGAAATATCAGAGATAAGGGGGTACACACAGAATTGAAAAAAACGCTATTATTTTAATGTGCCGTACAACAATACCACTAGTCCTGACGGATTCGTAGTGTTGTTCGGCAATACAATTTCGTTATCAATGAAGCGACAGAAATTATCTCGAATATTCAGAACATCGTGATATTACTTATAATGAGGTCAAACAATGATATGGTGTGACATCAGCGACGAAATCGACTGGTTTGATATTTTCATGAGTGGAAATAGGCTGATTTAAGTTAAAATTTCCAAAGTGATATCGAGAAAGCAGTACAAAATTATAACATATAAAATAAAATAAAATATAGTAGCCATCATTATGCGCTCGTTGAATAATATATATTATTACGCATCTGATGGTTACGTAAAGTGTAAAATTACATGTCAAAATTAAACTAACATTATGTTTTCGATTTTGTATTTTACTTCCTCATAACATAATGACTTAACAGCAGCAGGCTATCATCATGAATGTCATGATATTTTCATATTCAGAAATAAATAACAATCGACACTAAACCTTAGGCAAAATCGTTACAGGCATTCACCACTTTTATTATGAACATACACTTATACAAGTGATATCGCTAATCGCCTACCCAAAATATGAATTCCAACGACATGACAGTTGCTGATGACACGCCAATGGGCTAATGGACAATATTATAATATACAGGATGTTGAATTTTATTTTTTATTTCTGGGTCTTTTTGAAACAAGAAAGACATGGATGAAATGTGGTATACAGGGTTTTTTTTAATGTGATTGTTGAAGTATTTATCATTGTTTTTGCAAATAATTAAAAAAAAATTAATCATTCGAATTAATGAAAAAGTTTCGGGAAATTCTGGTTCAACTTTGAAATCGATGTTCCACATTTGAAATATCTGATCGAAATAATGATCATTGATAGGTACACTCTTCTTCAGAGTCGCGGTTGAACGGTATGAGCGCTCTTATTGCAGCGGTGATTAAGAGAGCCAACACCGTCCATATGCGACATGATCTCTGAAGACGACTGTACAGTGTGCTATCAATATTTCAGGGTATCACAAGAGACGTTCTAGCAGATGCCTTGCTGCCATGTTTAACTGCAGTTCCCGATTTTGGGGAATTTTGTATTCCACTTGCTTTAGAAAAGCTAGATTCGTCTCTGAAAATTGCTAAACTAGATTCACTGAAATTGCTGGTAAGTGTATTTTTCGTTATGAATTTTGTTCGTGGGACTAGTTGAGATGAAGGAAAATTTGATTCGTCGGAAATATCCTATACTTAATTCAATTTTTCCTGTATTTGTATGTCTGGAAAATCCACGAATAATGATTTTACTTGATTATTCTGTATATGAATGGATCTTGGAACTGTTGTAAAATTATAATTATAAATAATCTTAATTTTTGAGTTGCAATATGTACGTATAGTTCTCTCTGTATCACGTTTCTTTCAGATTGAAGGTTGTAGAACATTCGACTCATCCCTTTATCTAGAAAAGGCACCAGAAATATCGTCCCAATTACAAAAAGAGATTTTCAGCAATCCCACTTCTGATATAAAATCGCTTTGTCTCGAAACTATGACAGCCACCATTAACAAAATATCATCACAAGCGGATGCTTGTGAAGACATCTCTAGGAATATCGTCGACACTTTGAAGGCAAATTTGATACCAGACTCGAGGTTTTACCAACCATCCGAAGACATTTTGTACCATGTAGCTCTCGCATCTGAAAACTCTTCAAAATGTGTAGCCAAAGAGATTGTTCCGGTGCTAGCAAACATGTATGTAATAACTTCCACGATGGACAAAAAATTGTTCACCTTGAGAACTCTAGTCAAAATCACTAAAGCCTACTTAAAATACCACACTAGTCTAAACACCCAGGAAATACCGGATATAGCTAAAGTGCCAATCTTATGCGTTGAAGCGATGAACTCAAATGGAATTTCTAGAAAAATAGGTTGTGACAGTTTAACAGCCATGGTACAAAATTTGCCACAGGAAGTGAGGTTAAAGTTGTACCAATATTTACGTACGGGTATTCATTCTCCTAGTGAAAATGCAGATTTGAAAAAATCGGAGCTAGAGTGTCTCAAGAATTTAGCTTCACATTATCCCAGTGAAGTTAAACTGAATGTGTTTGAGGAAGACTCAAAGAATAGCTCAATTTTGAATTCGCTAACAATTCTAGTGAACTTGAAAGAATTCAGAGACTTTGTGATTGAACACTTCATAAATTTTCTACAAAACGTTGAGACTATTCCTTTCACTTTGGATTCTATGAAGGATTTGCTAGAAAGAGAGCAAAGCAACAAAGAACTCATTCAAGCATTCCTAGACAAAAACTTGCTGGATATTCTCATAGCTTTGGCCTTGAGGGAAGATCTAACTGCGACGTTGCCGAATGTCTCGAGGATACTGAAACTTTTGATCGGCCCTCTGGATGTCTCCCTTCAAAATGAAATTCTGGAGCGGCATTTGAAGGTGGTTTACGAGAAATCTGCGCGTTGTCACATTTACTTGATTGTGTTAGACGGTTTAGTTTCTGCTTTACGAAGAGACATTCAAGTGTGCTATGAAGTGCTGGAGCTAGCTTTGGAAATTTCGCTCCTCAGCCAAGATGGGGATGTTCAAAAAGTTGCTGTGCAACTTTTGGCTAATTTGATCAACAAGCGAAACGATGGTCAGTAAGTGTTTTTATATTTTTGGCTTTGGCATTTTGCAAAATGATAATGTACTCGCTCATAAGTCGTAACATTTTGTGGTGAAAGCATTCAGTGTATTATTCTAAGTCAGTTTATAGGCTAAGGTGTAAGGTCATATTCTGTCTCATTTTCCGAAGGAATAATCACCGAATATACTCGAATTTTGGCAATTAGGACAATTAAAAAAACATATTCATGAATCAGATAATCTACTCACCGGCGAAAAAAACCGGTCACCAAAATATTTCGCCAAATTGTTCGCCCTGTAACTTTTTTAATTCTTGTTCGATTTCGGTGAAATTTCGACCAAATCGTATATACATGTTTTGGAATGTTAGCCTGGATTTGTTACTAAGAAAAGCTGCTGGCTTGATCATTATACAGGGAAAAACAAAAGTGACTCTTTCATCCTTAGATTCTTAACGCCCTGTGTTAAAGGTCAGTGGTTAAACTGAGCTTCATCATGTTTTGGATTGAAGTGTGATCCCTTCTTAACACAATGGTCTTCGATTCTCGTCGATAACCACTTTGTAAGAAAAGATACGACTGTTTTAAGAAAGTATGTGTTTTTATTTTTATTAACAATAATTCAGAATCATTCTCCGACCTTCTGCATATCATGTTTTGAATTGAAGTGTGATCCTTTTTTGTCCCTTCTTAACACAATGGTTCGAGATTCAAGTCAATATCTCCTTTTTAAGAGAATATACAATAATTCTTTCAAGAAAGTATGGATTTTTAAAATTTTTATCAACAATAATTTTAGAACTTATAGAGCATCTTGGGGATGAACTCCAGAGGCTCGTTCGCCTTAGTTCGGCCATGTCAGAGACTCTTCAAGAGCTACGATTCGTCCTTTAAGGAGATTTGATGGCAATTCTTTAAGACTACTTTAGAAATTTGATCAACTTGATCTACGGCGGTTAAATGCCTCGTTGAATGACTCGTTATCTACTATATAGTGTTCTGCTTATTGTTTGATTTTTGTAATTAAGATTTTTTTCCGTCGACCTCGTAATAACGAGTAAGTTTAATGTTTATGAAATCATTCATTAATGACCGCTATTAATGATCAATTTGTCTATTAATGCACGATTGTTTTATAGGCAACCAAACATACACCGCACGCATTCATTGTTTATGCTATAACTTCCGGAATCTGCATTTAAATCGAAAATATGGATTCTATCGAATATTTTCCGTTAACGGGTTCGCCTTTCCTAGAGTTCCTAAATGTTCTTGAGACTACTGTTTTGACGTTTTTTGTATATTAAAAAAACGTCAAAATCAGCAGTGTCAACTACATTTAGGAACTCTAGCCTTTCCCAAGTTTCTGAAACGATTTTGATCCCTGTTTTCTAACACAAGGAATTTATTTTCTTTGTTGATCATTTCGACACATGTCAAATGTCACTAATGTCAGTAACAAGGATACTGGGTGATTCTTAGTAGTTTCCGGATGAATGATGAATTCGCGAACCAATTTTCTTCATTGCAGGAAACATTTTGTAACCAACTCGTATATTAAAAGGCGATTAATGATCTAGAACATTAACGCGCTCGCTTCGCTCGCACGTTAAAATATCTCGATCATTAATCACCCTCATTAATACACTAGTTGGTTAAATAACTATTCTGTAAGTGCTGAGAAAATGAGGTAGAAATAAGTGATATTTATTCTTCTTGTCAATCAATAAGTTTATGTAGGTTCTGATTATTGTTAATATGAGTGTTGATGAATTTTGAAAATTACCATACCTCCTAAAACCTCCTAAAACCCTTGTATCTTCTCTTAAAAATAAGATATTGACGTGATTCAAAAACTATTGTGTTGAGAAAGGATCACACTTCAATCCGAAGCATAATGAAACCAAGTTCAACCACTCAATTTTGCCACAGGGCGTTAAGAAATGAAGGGTGAAATAGTGAATTTGATTTTTCCCTGTGTCATCAGATTTTCACTTGAACTAATATTCAGGCTAACATTCCGGAACATAAATCTACGATGTGATCGAAATTTCACAAGAATCGGACAAGGATTAAAAAAGTTACAGGGTGAACAATTTTGGCAATTTTTTTGCCGGTGAGTGTATATTGTCGCAGCTCAGATGGTTCTTGTAGGTTATAATATGGCATCATTTCACCACCCAACCACATTCATCCCCAAATAAAGGGTCAAGATAGTTTTCATGTAAAAATTGAGATTTATTGATTGAGTGGAAGAATCGTGGATAAATGTTTGCCACATGGCAGGTTAGCAAAGAAAAAGAACATAATGGCTTGCCAAATGAAACACAACGTGAAACAACACTTGAAAAAAACAGTACTTACATTACAACGTCTAGCCTGACGATTGAAGTTGGGGAGACGGCGAACATTTTCAATTGATAATTACTAATGACTTGTATTGGTAATAATGCCTCATCTACTCGGGTTCTATTCATATTCAGAATCGAATAGGTTTGCAATTTTCCGCAATGGGAACGGCCATTACCTTTCGATAATGCTTACCTAGGTATTATCGCACGGTAAGCGGTTTTCGCAAATTCTACAGGAACTCTGATCTAGTCTAGTCTATGAACTATGCTGATCTGGTCGAAACTACACTGTACTGGATGTTTTAATTTGGAAAAGTTAATTTGTAATTAAAGATCTTGAAATGAACGCGAGTTTGAGTGATGTTATTCTATAGGCATTTGTACTACTTGAAAATATTTTGACTAATCATTCGTCTTTATTCGAATTACTATCTATATGGTGGAGACGACAAATTAATTATAGGTATTCTTCATAGTATCTTTCATGTAAAGTGAGTCTTGGTGAGCATTGAAAATTTGTTACAGATGAAGTATTCAACCTCTATTTAGACGAAATCCAAAATGTTTGTTTGACATCAATAAAAAATGACAACTTGAATATTGATCCAATATTGACGATGTTCTGGATAACCAAGGCACTTGTTATGAGAAACAGTGCCAAAGGAATTTTATGGCTTGATTATGTAAGTTACAATGCAAATAAGATACTTCAGAAACTTGCAATATGAGCTATTGAACACGAATTCGTAGTAAAAATACCACATAGATTTTATAAACATTTTATGGCATGATTATTATGTAAGTTAGGAACCATTGAAAGATACTTCAAAAACTATAGGGTATATCACGACAACCTTACACTAGCTTTATATCGAGAATCAGTCGGTAGAAATCCATGAAAATGTGCATGCATATTTTAGACAATGCAGTGTTGCAGCTTCGACTAGAAAGTAGTAGCAACACTGATATTTTAAATGGAACACCTTGTATTTCATCGCATTTTTAAATTCTACCTGAAAAGCTGATTTCATAGATACATCACACTTGGGGTCTGAAGAAAAAATTACAGAGATTTAGTGTTCAAAATCGAGATATTTCAACTTTGGAATTTTTTTGTCGGAACTATTCATTATCGGTCAAAACGGCTCAAATGTCCCTATCCTAACTTCTGATTCACTATTTACTGATATTTAATCGGAACAGTTCAAGATTCAGAATTCAAAAATGATTCCGTTTTAGATAACACCAAAATAAATACTTATGTACCCAGTGTGCACATGAGTCGATAAATTGACTACAACGAATTTTTTTTTCTTGTTCCAAGTTTTCAAATCTGCGGGTAACTTGGAACATCGATATTTTTTCAAATATCTTCCTAACGACTAAACCGGCGAAGATGAATATTTGTATAATTATAGTACAACTCATACATCTTTCAGGATAGGGAAGATTCCCTACCATGAACAATAACTTTGCCACGTGTATTTGTATCTGAAAAATTGTCCAGGTATCTTCATTTTACGGTACATTAATCTTATTAATTTGTTAATATGTCGATGGAAAATCATATATCAGAGGGATATTTCAATCACATTACCCGTTAAACCCGGTTATAGTATATTGGTTTGAGTGGTAGAAGGCAACTATGTCATAATGACGTCAACATTAACCATTTTGGAATTCCCATTTCTTTCACTTCACCCAGTTTACTCAGTTATAACCTCAGGTTTTCTTCATTTTGAATCCGAGAGAAAAAATATTTGTTGTTTATCTATGTTTTATTGTTATTGTGCAAACCTTATTGATCATGTCTATAAAAATAAACAATAAAAAAATTAGTTGTGTGCAACCATGTTATTCATAATGGATGATTTGACCTCTGTTTTGTTAGGAGAAAAAGACAGATTACTTCATTTGATGAAAGAGATCGAATCATCGGAGTATTGCCACAATCACTGCTCTAGGAGGTATCAGATGTCATCATTTCAGGAATCGTCATTTCTTTAAAACCTGGATAGATTATTACCAAGAATCAAATTCCTATCGCATGTTTCAGATGAGGAGAGATAGTTGGAGTCACGATGGACATCGTGGTTGAAGCCATATAGCAAAGAAGGTTCTCTTCTGTGCATATATACCCAAAACATATTGTTTAAGGAGCTTGTCGTCTGGAAACATGAACTTACCTAAACACTCAAAGCCTAAATAAATATTTACTATCCTAATCCCTACCCTACCATTTCGCAATCTTTGTACATTTGCCCATGATCAACGGGATCATCGACATGCACTATTTAATTGTAATTTGAGTGTTTCCATAATATCCTCCATCTTTCACTTCGTGAACAAATCTTCAACTCCAACATTAACCACCTTCACCAACGTTGGAGTTGGTAAACCCAAGGGCAGGTAGGGGAGGTGTACCCAAACGAAAATGACGTCACGGTTGAGCACAATGAAATGGGATTATCATCTTCAACAATGACGGGAAATGTGAATGAAATATCCCTCATTATTACTAGATGATCTATTATGTTAATAACCTTGTTACATAAGATGAGCCAGATGAGTACATATATCTATAAAATACAGAAATTCAAACCGGGAATACTCATTACTAAACGTGACAAATAACATTGTTTAATTATTTTTAATGATCATCAAAACAGCATGATTTTCCAGAGAATGTGAAACGTTACGAAATGAATAGTAAGAGGTTTCCATGAATAAATTATGGACCGAATGTAATCTTATATGAAAAGATAATTGTCAAAAGCACCTTTAATTCGATATCTTCAGTGTCTTGTGTCAGATAAAAGGATATATTATTTTAGGTGTTGAAACTCCTGGATGAACATAATGAAGCAGTCGAAGGATTGGAAATTATCATGAAAGACGATTATGAGTCCTTGAGCTCGGCCTGCCATTGTAATAAATTGTGAGTGAATTAGTCATATCAGTCAAAGTGACTTCAAACTATCTGATATTGCGAATTGAGTTCCTCAGTAGGTATCTCCTCTCCTATTTTTCTCTTCATTTCTTGAATTGAATTTGATCAAAATTGGCGCTTTCAACTCTCAATGTGCAACTATTCAGTGTGTCCCACTTACCATGCTCATCATGGGTATCTTTTTAACGGTGAGAGATACGAGGTCGGTTAAATGACACCAAATGTGGAGTTTGTCAAGGCCAACTATAATGTGAAAAAATATTTTGATAAATTATTCGTTTTTGTTTTGTACGCAAAAAACAGATTTTCATCATCATTTTCATGTCTCCTCCGTAACTTCTTCATTTATGAAAATATTCGAATAGGAATTTCACATTCTCATGGCAGTTTTTCAAAGTGATTTCGAAAAAAATATGAAATTTATACCAACTCTTCTAGAATTTGAGATATCAGCACCAACTTTAGTTTTTCAAATGTAGGTCATAGCTCACTATGACTTAGTTACAAATAACTTTTTTTTCTCTTACAGATGATATGAAGCAGTAATAATTTTGTGTTGATAACAACGGAGTTATCGTCATTTATACAAAAACAAAAAAATATTTGGAAGCCGCCATCTTGAATTCATAAATTTCAACAAAAAAATCATGATCTCCGACCTCAAAAACCTCTACTTACCAATTTTCAATGGAATCGGACCAAATCTTGTCCGCCATCTTGGAGCAGCCATTTTTTTTTATTTCAACAAAAATCGTGTTCTTCGGCTATTCATTAAATCGCGCATGCCATCACATTGTGCTGTTATACAATGCACAAAAAATGCAGCGGGAGACGAAGAAATCCGGGTGGTACCGGGTGACCAGTTATATTCTGACCCATTTCAAATGCTCATATCTCTGAAACCATTCAAGTTATCGCTGTGCGGTTTGGACTAGTCTATTTTGATGTTTTTCAAGTTTTTTTGACGTGTTCATCTTCTCACTTGAACATCCGGTTCTATCGGAAACGAACAAGCAATAATCCAGGTATAGGGTATGGCATGGAGATTATTTTCATAAAAACTATAGGAAACAGAAAATTTAAATATTTCAATATGTACCTATAGAAGTTTTCAACACACTACAAAAAAATTTATGATAGCATTCGGAAAAGATGAGTTCATTTGTGTTGAATGATGAAGAAAATCTGAAATTGTACAAAATTGTTTGTGTGCATATAAATATTGTGTAAAAACTTCCAGTTATTGTTACTCACATGCTATTGTTTTCATCCATAGCACACTTTCATGAAGATATACTGTTACGAGGGGAATACAAAAAGTATGATTATGATATATCGTTGGAAAGATAGTTTTATACTGAATCGTGATTTCCATAAACAAATTATACTCTGTATTCGAAATACAAAATTTGGATGCACTTCCAGTCAAACCGTGAGTGTCTAATTTTGTCTATACTAGCAAAAGCATACACTCATACAATTAAATCGATATGTCAATGTATTTGATGTATTTGAAACATCCATTCAAAATTGTTCCGGGTCACTCAGTAGAGTTCGAAAACAGTTTAGTGCATAAACTACAGTTCTCAACACACCAAATGGACCACTCATAATTTGACTCTATTTCGAAGACCTGTATTTTTTTAAAAAATTGACCGATCTTCATGCGGTTTTCGATATCAGATGTGATGTTTCATCGACTTCAAAGAGAGCTAGAACAATCTGAAAAAGTAGGCAAAACAAAACTCACACAGGGTGTAAAGTGGAACCATTACACTATGGTCTACATTTCCAATGCTGCCAGAACTCGAGAAATTTTTTTCTGATCAAAAGTCAGTCATATTATGATACACTGGGACCTCATCTCGGGACGTTTTCGTGATTTCTCCTTAATTGGCCATTGGAACAAAAATTCGATTTTTTTTCGAAAGTCTTGCATTTCTTGATTTTTTCCTCTAGAACTCCACTTGAGCTGACTATTGGGAAGAACTGTTCTCATGTTTTATGGAGGATAATGAAAGGCGAAAAAAGCACTTTTTTGGATTATACAGGATGATAAGAAAGTAGGACAAAATCTCATTTCAGTGAAAAAAATCAAAAATGGTGACTAAAACTATGGCCCATTCGATCCAGTATATTCAGAAACGGCCGTCTCGATATCCATCATTTATATTAGACTACTAACTCGAGATGTTTTCGAAAATTCGCCTCTAAGTGAAATACAGGATGAAATTTTTCAATTCAAACTTGTTTCCTGATATCGATGATTTTCAATATTAATTGCTCAAGTATGAGATACAGAGAATTGTTGCTCAATATACTGAGTGTTTTACAACTACGATATTACATGAGAAGTCTATCACAAAAAAATTTAATAGAAGTGAAACGCGATGGAAAATAAAATTTGTACTTGCACTTTATATTCACTAAAACTATTCGAAAAGGGTGATAAGAAAATAGGACAATACAGGGTGAAAATTTTCAATTCAAACTTGTTTCCTGATATCGATGATTCTCATCATTTAATCAACGGATTTCCAATATTAATTGCCCAAGTATGAGACACAGAGCATTGTTGTTCAATATATTGAGTGTTCCACAACTTATCTGACAAATTACGAACTCTAGAAAACAATAATGTTAGAAGAATGTGGTGACCAGCATAATCTCCAGATCTGAATTTGATTGAACATGTGTGGAGCCGAATGAAACTTGACCTATCGAGAAGGCGAGGCACCCCAAAATAATGACAACCTTATCCAGAATGGGCGGCAATATCAATAGACTTCATCAACAACCTCATAAAATCTATGCCAAACCGATTTCATGAGGTTTTGTTGAATCGGGGAGGCCTACCAAGTACTGAAATTTAGGATATAGAACTTTCTAGTTGGATCTTCATAATGTTGAAGAATTCAATAATGTCATATTTCTCCAATAGAGCCCTTTTAGAATAGTTTTAGTGGATATAAAATGTTACAAATTTTATTTTTCATCCCGTTTTACTTCTATAATTTTTTTTGTGATAGACTTCTTATGTAATATCGTAGTTGTGGTTGAAATTTGTCAGATAAGTTGTAGAACACTCAGTACATTGAACAACAATACTCTGTGTCTCATACTTGGGCAATAAATATTGGAAACCATCAATATCAAGAAAACAAGTTTGAATTGGAAATTTTCATCCTGTATTTCATTTAGAGGCGAATTTTTGAAAACGTCTCGAGTTAATGGTCTAATATAAATAATGGATATCGAGAAGGCCGTTTCTGAATATACTGGATCGAATGGGCCATAGTTTTAGTCACCATTTTTGATTTTTTTCACTGAAATGAGATTTTGTCCTAGTTTCTTATCATCCTGTATGATCCAAAAAAGTGCTTTTTTCGTCTTTCATTATCCTCCATAAAACATGAGAACAGTTCTTCCCAATAGTCATCTCAAGTGGAGTTCTAGAGAAAAAAATCAAGAAATGCAAGACTTTCGGAAAAAAAATCGAATTTTTGTTACAATGGCCAATTAAGGAGAAATCACGAAAACGTCCCGAGATGAGGTCCCAGTGTATCATAATATGACTGACTTTTGATCAGAAAAAAATTTCTCGAGTTCTGGCAGCATTGGAAATGTAGACCATAGTGTAATGGATCCACTTTACACCCTGTGTGAGTTTTGTTTTGCGGACTTTTTCAGATTGTTCTAACTCTCTTTGAAGCCGATGAAACATCACATCTGATATCGAAAACCGAATGGAGATCGGTCTATTTAAAAAAAAAATACAGCTCTTCGAAATAGAGTCAAATTATGAGTGGTCCATTTGGTGTGTTGAGAACTGTAGGTGTTGTACAAGTAAAACATTATTTGTCCTCCTTTTATTTCAATATGGCAAAGTTTTTAGCCCCAAAGAGAAAGATCGGAGAGGAGAGACAATGAATAGCTCAACTGAATTTATTTTCACGTATACACTGCTCTACCAAAATATAGGAACACATTTCTGATGAAGCGTTAAGAAAAATTAGATAAACGAGATATTTCTTCCAAGCATTGAACTATGAATTTGAAATTTTTCAGATTGATATACAGACAGAAAATGTTCGTTTACATCACAAACAGGATAGCTGAGAAGTATAGTACAAATAAATTATTTTATTCAAAGGCAACTGCTTGTTTGTTGAAGCATACTCCATCGCAAGCGATAAACATGCAATATAAAAAGGTATTCCTATTGAATTTAATTAAAAAAAATTTATGTCTATAGTCAAATTACGAAATTTTGTTTCAGATTTCCAAACTTATTTTATTGTGTTTGGAAACGGATGAGGAATCAGAAAATCTCAATATACTCCTGAAAATTATAAAAGACACCCTTTTGAATGATAGTGCCTTGATTGAAGACCATCTGGAAGATTATTTAACTAGGATATTGAGGTTAACTTCATTTAAAAATAGTATGGTGAGTTAATGCTGTAGTTGTTTGCAGTACTCTTTTCCGGTCATTTTCATTCTTTTTGCGGTATAGTTATTTTTTGCGTTAATTTCTTCACAAATATTTGTCGCAGAGATTTACTACAGTCACTTCTGTTGACAGTATTTTTTGCCATCATATTTTTTTGTCGTTTGTATAGTTGCTAATATGTCTACGGTTATATGTTTGCAGTCGTTAGTTGTACTTTTTTGTAATCATTTTCTTGCAGTCATTTGTTGATGCAATATTCGAGTTCATTCCTTGCAGTTGTTGCAGTGAAAAATTCTACATCAGTGATTTTTAATCAATCAAATTGGATTTTTTTAGACAAATCACCATAGCAACGTATGCATTTCAGTGGAAATGTTTGTCTCTTGGGTACCGAACAGCAAATTAAGACGGACTTTTCAATAACAGAATAATATTATTATTTATTATAATGATATGTTACATTCTAAACTGGAATTTCGATGCAACTACTATAATGAAGAATTTGTAAGCTACGAATCTGTTGATGCCGAAACTGTGATAACTATATTGAAATCATATAAATAAATAGATTCTGCAATCATTTGATTTTCAAACACAAATTGGTGTGAAATTTTTCTACCGAATACCACACGTACGAGGTCAAACGGAAAATTTCCAACATCTAGTGGTTTTACAAGTGATAATTCAATATTTTTGTGGTCAATTATTATTTTTCGTAGTTTTTTTATTACACTGAAATATTTTTGTGGTATATATTTGCAAAATTTTTTGTGGTAATTTTCTTGCTGTATGTACCTAGCTAATTGGTTGCGTTAGTTTTTCAGCTATATATTAGATGCGGTGATTTTTTTGTAGTCCTTATTTGCTACCATTTTGACTGCTTTTTCTTGCAATTATTTTCTCTTGTCAATTGTTTGCCGTAATATGTTTGTGGTCTTTAGTTGCTAATATTTCAGTGGTCATATTTTCCGTATTCTTATGTGCACGGGCATTTTTGGCAATTATTTTTTTCTTTTTTTTTGCAGTTCATTTCCTGCAGCCATTTTATTCCATCATAATATGTTTGTGGTTTTTGTCTTACGAATATTTCTTTGCAGTCATTATATTTGAGGATTGGGCAGTCATTCCTTCGCGGTATTTTTTCTCTCATTCATTTGTTCCTATACTTTTTTCCATTTTTTAGTGATGATTTTTTTGTGGTCTTTATGGGATCATTTTAAATTAGTGTAACTGAGGAGGAGGAGGACTAATAATTTGTCTTATCTGTTTCAGCAAGTTAGAATCAAGGCTATACAGTGTCTCGTCCATTTCACATCACTATTTCCATTGTATAAATTGATACCATTCAAAAGTAAAGTTTTGCAATGTCTAAGTGATTGCATTGATGACAGAAAACGCCTAGTAAGAAGAGAAGCTGTAGAAGCAAGATCTCTTTGGTTTCTAATGGATGCGCCCATTTAATATTTCTTTATAGATATATGGAGTATATATTTGTCAAATGGACATTGTTTTTGTTGAAAATTGCGTTGGAGTTTGTAGTTGAAAGAAATGAAAAAAACTGTTGGATATTTTCACGAACTGTCTTCGCAAATAAATATTTCAATGTTGAAATTAATATTTGGTGGTTTGAATCCCAATATAAGCCGTAGGTCCTGCTCTTGGTACTTACAATGAAAATCAAGATTTTTTTGTGATCACAAACAGTGACCAGACGTCTAGTTTTTCGAAAGGATCACCCTATTTATATTTGCAGTTTCTGATTCTACATCGATAATCTGTCAAGTTCCCTCGATAATTCCATAATATACTATAATATATATTTGCAGTCCAAGAAAGTATTTTGAGAAATCCATTTTTGCACTGCTTATTTATCACCAATATAACAGCAGACATTTATTTTTATTCAAAAAAATATCAATATTCCAGTGCGACATCGAACACTTAAAACCGAGATATCTCGAAAACGGCTTACTTACGCGTATTTACCCAAATGTACCTCTTGCATATAAATACTCAGAAAATTATTTCCTCAACAGAAAAAGTCCAGAACTACACTGAGGAAAAAGTTATGTCTACAGAAATTCGATTTTTATTTTTTAACTCCACCACCCTGTATCTCGGAAACGGGACAATTCCGGACTGAGGTAATAGTTGCTTTGAATCGGCATTTTTATGCCAGAAATATGTGCTGAGATTTTGTACAGACCTTTTAGGGACACCCTGTATAGTAAAAGTGATTATTATTGCTGCAAATTTGTGGCTACAAAAAGACCATAGGCGTCATTTTGGGGGGCCAGGCAATGCAGTTGCCTCCCCCTGATTCTCTACAAAAAATAATTTCACAATGAATCTTCCTGTATCAATGACAAACAATAAACATAACGAAACCATATACGTATTAATAATCAATACGGATAATCTCTATCTGTTTCCATAGCGAAACATGAAGCCGATTTTTGAAGACAAATGACTATCCATAAGGAAAAGTTTTGAAACGATCAGACACATATACTGCTTTGATTGAAAGGCTAGTAAACGTCATTGTCCACCGAAACGCATGTCTTTGATGACTACTATAATAGCGCATTGCGCATGCGTATCATGTCACCAAATCCTTATGGATATTCATTTGTTTCATATTTTTGGCTTCATCCTGGCACCCGTTATGATCCGTATTGTTTATTAATACGTATATGAACGAAACAGACCAGAAACAGATCAGTATAGTTACTTTGCTATTGATAAATCAACTCCTATATACACAGAGAAATCTGACGACGACGTGTCTATTTGAAGAAGATTACTAAACTTCAAAAAGGAATTTGAATTCTATTATTATTGTGTCAGACCGTCAACAAATATGCAAACTTTTTAAATTAGGTACACATGAAACGTCCAGCCAGAATGAAATTGTCTCGCCTTTCGTACAAAATATCTCACTAACGCGAATTATAAGTAAATAAAATGAAGTAGGAACTTAGGTTATTGTCTCAGATTTGAATCGAAAGCAATCTTGACCAGTCACGATGTCAAAATTTTATCGCTGATAAACGAGGTTAGTTGGTCACGTGTGGTTCAATTCGGCTTCTGTATTGGTAGAGCAAGTCCGATAAAATTCAATAAACAAAAAATATCGCATACAGAAGAAACCATGAAAATGGTCGATTCTGATTGGTTCTCGAGATCAAGAGTGGAATAGTCATATATAATACCACAAGTGATAATATTTTGCCGGAAATATTCGGTGATTGTTACGACAGCTTGTTGTCTAGTAATTTCGTGAATGACAGGCTCGTAGTTTTGGATCAATGTCATGAGCGAAATTAGAGCAGCAAGTTGTGGAGTATGTCAATCGACGAATATTTCCAGGAAAAATAGTATCACGAGTTGTATTCGTATGACTATTTCATTATTGAATGAGACAATATAATATATAAGAAATAGGAAACATAATTTAAGTATATTCCAACTCGAAATGCGAAAAAGAACATAATGATAGTAATGGAATACAGAATTTACTTTCTCAGAAATTAACTACCTTTATAGTTATTCACAAAGTGGAATGTACAATTTTGATAAACAGTATTTTTTTTATTATCTTGGAGATAATGGTTGCTCTCAAAAGAGTGTATACAATTGCTATCCAATTCAAACAAATAAATTAAATTTATGTGACATGGAATGATTTAAAAAAAAAATATCGTCGCCGAAGGCTCGAATCATCTACCTTCGTATCCTCGCGCAACAACCCTATCGCAGTTGCGCTACATCAGATGGTAATTATATCAGTGAGTCACAATAAAAGTTGAGTGATTGCAGAAGATTACTTTGAAAAGGAATTTGAATTCTAGTATTGTTGTGTCAGACCGTCAACAAATATGCAAACTTTTTAAATTACACATGAAACGTCCAGCCAGAATAAAATTGTTTCGCCTTTCGTACAAAATATCTCACTAACGCGAATTATAAGTTAATAAAATAAAGTAGGAACTTAGGCTATTGTCTCAGATTTGAATCCAAAGCAATCTTGACCAGACACGATGTCAAAATTTTATCGCTTATAAACGAGGTTAGTTGGTCACGTGTGGGTCAATTCGGCTTCTGTATTGGTAGAGCAAGTCCGATAAAATTTAATAAACAAAAAATATCGCTAGAATACAGAAGAAACCATGGAAATGATCGATTCTCATTGGTTCTCGAGATCAAGAGTGGAATAGTCGCTAATTAACTGCCTGCTCCTTTGATCTAGTAGCAATTTGCGTCTGATGTCACTTCAATTTCTGTGGTGTCAAGTTTGATTGATGGGTATGGTTCACGCATACATTAGCAAGAAGAGCCGTTTTAGGAAAATTTTGTCTGATGAAGAAACCATGAAAATATGAGGAAATCAATTCGGCAAACTACCATCAGTTACACGGAATCATCAATGAAGGTAATTATTATTGTTGTTTATTTGTATATTGTCGTTGATTTATCTTGCCAAAAAACCCTCGAACTTTTTTTTTAATGGATTAATTTCCTTACCAACTATAATACATTTTCCATCAGTTATTTCTCTCGAAAAACTGACATTGGACAACATTGCTCCACCAAAGGTCTCGCAATTTTTTCATGTCAGTTTTCCTCGTAAAATTGCTGATCGGCAAATGTTTTCCGTTACCAAGAGAAATTTATTGGACTGAGTGATAAATTTTTGAATGGTATGAGATGGAAGTATTGAAATGAATCAGGGAATCTCTCATAAATTTCGCGGAATTGACAAATGAGTCAGTTTCCCTTATATCCATTTCTTTGTGTTCATAAATATATCTGAGAATATTCCGCCCTTTCAATGTATCATTTATTTTCACTTGAAAAATAATATAGTCCCCCCCCAAGTGGAATATATCGATATCAGTAAAGTAGTCTAATGGAAAAGCACAAGAGGAAGTCTTTCCAATTACCCCAAGAATTGGAAATTCGACACCTCATCCCCTCTAGTGACACCCGACACTATGCGGTTGTCCCGGATCCTCCGGGGCAGACCGTTTCTCACCTCCGGACTTCCCGGAATCGACTTATCGATTCTTCGCCCGTTGTTGTTTGAATATTAGATAGGTCGAGACGAAATTTAATCCCTGAGAGATCCTCCGATGCTTCACGGGAATATGTGATATTTATATATTATGTATTCCTTTTTGCTTTTTCGGATTCCATAGTTATTTATATTGCCTTCCGCTCTACTCGCATAGAATATCTGCTCTCTTGGATGCATCTTTGATAGTAGGAGAGCCACCTGCAAATTGAAACCGGCATCTGATAACGAAATGATATACAGGGTGTCCGCTAAAAGGAGGTCAATCCATTAACCATATATTCCTTGAACAAAAACAATATGAGTTTCTAAATACCATTTTTCATTTTAGCCCTTCATATTCGATATACAGGGTGTCAAAGTTGGAAATTGAAAACTGTTTTTCTTCAATTACTTGCGTATTTAATGAGATATTAATCTCAAAATTGGTACATTACTTCAACACAAAGAGTTACATTGTGTGGGGAAAACAAAACAGAAAATAACTATCAAATATTCAAAATACTGGGGGTCAAGTACACACTTACCCCCATATTTTTTTTGTACGTGCGCTAATGACTTTCTATCTATTTTTTTCCAAGTGTTCAATCATTTTTGAGTATTTTTTGTCTCTTGTAAAATTTCGATTAAATCATTTGTTTTTGAGATAATTCGAGAAGTACTGGTTATTGCTTGATGCCAATGCGGCTTATGGTAATCTCATAATGTTCACATACTCCTAGTTATTTCGTCGAAATTGAAAGAGGGCGTAACTTTTTACGTACGAAAAGGTTAATATGGAAATACCGGGTGTTCAGAGCGAATGTATTAAAATAATTTTTACCAAAAAAAAAAATTATAGTAATTCAATAGGTACGTCTAAATAAATTGTTCGATATGACCTCCAATTTTTTGAATTAAAGAAAATCTTAGCCTTTGAAAAATATGTGGCTTATACACAAAATCTTTCATACATCCCCAGACAATCCTGATCTGCTATTTCTTTCATCAAGCAGCTATTAAAATCATGGATATCACCTAAAATTTCCGAAAATATATTTTTTTAATTTTTTCTGATTTTATTTCCTGTTCGTTCGCGCCCGAACACCCGGTATTTCCATATTTACCTTTTCGTACGTGAAGAGTTACGCCCTCTTCCAATTTCGACGAAATACATAGGAGTATGTGAACATTATGAGATTATCCTAAGCCCATAGGCATCAAACAATAACCAGTACTTTTCGAATTATCTTAGAAACAAATGATTTTGTCAAAATTTTACAAGAGACAAAAAATACTCAAAAATGATATAACACTTGAAGAAAAATAGATAGGAAGTCATTAGCGCACGTCCAAAAAAAAATATGGGGGTAAGTGTATACTTGACCCCCAGTATTTTGAATATTTGACAGTTATTCTCTGTTTTGTTTTCCTCACAAGATGTAACTCTTTGTGCTGAAGTGATGTACCAATTTTGAGATCGATATCT